TGTGCAGCTACCCATCCAGGCTGTCACATTGTAAAGTTTGCAGATGATACAGCGGTGGTGGGATGCATCACAAACAATGATGAGTCCAGCTACAGGCAAGAGGTGGAACACCTGGAGAGCTGGTGCAGAGAGAATAACCTTCACATCAATGTGAAGAAGACAAAGGAGATGATTGTGGACTTCAGAAGGAACAAAAACACCTACACCCCCCTGAACATAAGAGGATCTGCGGTGGAAGTGGTCTCCAGCTACAAGTACTTGGGTGTACACATGAATGACAACCTCAGCTGGAGCAACAACACCACCAGCCTGATCAAGAAAGCTCATCAGAGACTCTACTTCCTCAGACGGCTGAGGCGAGCTGGTCTGGGAAGCTCAGTCCTCACCTCCTTCTACAGGTGTGCAGTGGAGAGCATCCTGTGCTCGAGCATCAATGTGTGGCATGGAGGCTGCACAGCTGCAGAAAGAAAAGCTTTGCAGAGAGTGGTGAAGGCTGCACAGAAATCTGTTGGAATCAGTCTCCCCACCATCACAGACATCTACACCTCCAGATGCAGGAAGAGGGCCACCTGCATCATGAAGGACCCCACCCACCCAGCACACACACTTTTTGCCCCACTCCCCTCAGGAAGGAGGTTAAGGAGCATTAAGTGTAGAACCACTAGACTGAGGAACAGCTTCTACCCTGAGGCTGTTAGACTCATGAATCTCTAACTAGAATAATCACTGTGAAAAACCATATCATGTTGCTGCTGATCTGTTTCATGTTGCTGCTGATCTGTTTCAATGTTGATGTGTTCATGCGTGCACATCTGCTCACAGACTCATGTTCATGTTTGTGGTGATGTTCAATGTTTTATGTTATGAGTGCTTAGTGTATATTTAGTTGATGTTTTTCTTAGTTCATATCTTAGATGTTATTACTGTTTTTCTTATACATTTTATTGTTGGATGTAACTGGGACCCTGTGTACATAATTTCGCTCCACCACATGTACCACATGAGGTGCGAATGACAATAAAGAAACTCTGACTCTGATTTATTTTTTGAAACCGTCCTGCTGCATTCTCTTCTACAAGGCAAGGATCCTTTAAGCAAAATAAAGTTGCCTTGTTTGTTGAGCATTACTTTAGCTATTTTGTTGCTGTGCAACTTCAACTACATCTGGACTTCTTAATTGAAGCCAACAGGAAATACCGTAAGCGGTGAGGCCAAAATGCATCGTCCCCCAGTTTGTGCATGCGACTTCTTGGATCTCTTGTTCCCAGTCCTCCTGCTGCTGGTGTGTCATCGGTGGAGGAGCAGAACTTCCTGGTGATGGGATGTCATCTCTGCAAAAACACAACGGTTACTGAAACTTTTTACTTCACTGTAAAGTTAGATCTTAAAAACAACAAGACGTTTTCTATTTTAGTCTGATCTAAAAGAATAATCTGGTGAAGTCTCCAGCTGCTGAGCTGAACAAGCCGACAGCAACATGTGGAGCAAAGTACTTCAGATGGAGATCGAAAACATCCAGCAAGCAATTCATTTAGGATTAAGAGTGGGAATGAGGTTTGCAAGAGGCATAAACATTGTTAAATTTAAAAGAAACACAGATTAGTGCCTCGAAAAGTCACTAATCTGAATGTTATTTAAAGTCAAACAATGTTTAATTTGAATGAGCAAAGCTCCAGGTGTGAAATAATCCCAGGACAATAATCTGTAGGCCTTCTGGCTGCCTT